CCCCCCCCCCCCCCCCCCCCCCCCCCTCTTCCACAGGGACCCAATCCGACGGGTCCGATCATCCAGGGAAGCAGGCGTCCATCTGAATTGGATCAAAGCAAGGGTGGGCATGTCACCGGGACATATGTATATGCATTGACGTTATTGCATACATCTTCAGCTCTAGCCCTGATTCATTCAACCTCTTGCTTTCTATATCACAGACGTGCAATTTCTTCTATCCATACTGCACTGACCCATCCAACCTGTAAAACCTGTAAACTGACATCGCCAATCTATGTCACAATGTGGTGCAGAGCAAAGGCTCCCGGATCTACCGAGTCATTGCATTACAGGCATCCATCAATCATCCCCAACCCCTCCCTTCGTCCTTGGCCGAGACTTTCCCCTTCGCAAGTCGTCATCGTCTACTCTGCACACCATCACTCTGTACTGCGAAGCTGACCGCCACCTTTGGCCATCTCTGGCTGACCACCTGTCTCTCTCCTGGTCTCTCTCCCGAGCCCCCGTTGTATCTTGTGCAGCTATCCTCACCGAGAAATATGAACCGACAACATTGGTCAGATAGGTCTGCCCCTTTCCCTCCATCGCCCCTCTAGGTAATACCCCTTTTCTTTCTTTCTTCTTCTTCGTCTTCTTCGTCTTCTTTCTTCTTCTTTCTTCTTCTTTCCTCTTCTCTTTACCCCCACTCTTCATCCTCTCACCCTCTCTACCTTTGACGATACGATCGGTCAAGACAACGATGACCATAGAATAAAAATTCAATTCCCAGCCAGGCGCTTCAAGGTCTGGACAGCTGGCCCGGATCAGTGGTCCTGCACGAGATGGATCGTGCCATACCGGGTATTGCCAGGAACAGCCGAGTGTTGGCATAACACGTACATAGTATTTATTTAGTATGACCCAACGCCGATTGCCGACAGCGCATAGTACGATACAATACGGCACGGCACGACACGGTACGGTGCGCTGCGCTGCGACCTCATGCATCTTCTTTTTTTTTGTCTCATTTTTGTCTCACAGATTACTACAACTCCTGACCCTAATGCCTCTCCCACGCGTACATCCATTCATGTGACAGAGGGAGCAGGTACCTGCCACGACAAGAGACTGCCTAGATAACACAAGCACACGAGAATAACAGCATGTGCACGGTCGAGTGAATGAAGAAAAAGTTCTCGTCTTGATTGCTTTTTTTTTCTTGTCATCATTTTGGGTATTGTCTTGTTTTTTTTTGTTTGTTAAAATTTTCAAATCTCATTCTTGCTGCCCGGCGGCCCTTGGAAACTCGTGTGTATGATACGAGTCATATACCTGATCGTATTCATCAGCTAAGCCAGCTGTCAATTCCCCTTGTCACGTCATGTGCAACGTTGTACACAAGACTATCAGGCCAAAAACAAAGAAGCAATGCCAGCAGGCAGAAACCCTCAACGCCCAATGTTTTTTTTTGATGTAATAAAAGGCCATGTTGAACCCGATCAGACTAAGATCAAAGGAAGATGCGTGGTTAAAAAAGAAAGAAAGAGAGAGAACAGAAAAGAGTACCGTAGACTTGGAAAAAGATGAGTCAGAAGGAAATGATCCCCCCCCCTTCAAACGGAAAAAAACGATGGCAGCTCTGCTCCTGCCTCGAATAGCCATGATCAACATGACACATCAGATGATGGTTCATCCCCCCGGTGTCTCGAAGAATCCCTGTTTTTGTTTTTATTCTTGTCTTTCAGAGAAAGAAGAAAGAAAAAGATAGGCCAGGAGGTGGGTAAAAAAAAAAATTAAAAAAAAAAAGAGAGGGAAGAACAACGACCCTGGAACATGGACGCAGTCAGGTCCTGATCTTGTCGGGGGCCACCTAAGCCTGCACGACAGGGATGTTATCCATGCTGGCACCATCCGTGAGCCACTCCTTCTGGATGAGCTGGTCCCTGAGGCTGTAGAGGATTTTGTAGGCCGTCTTGACCGTGCCGTCGCTGACGCCTGCCTGCTGAGCAATCGGCTGCGATGGCCTCGGCTCGCCCACCAGGTGGCACACCATGTAGATGCACGCCGCCGCCACCGACAGCGGCGACCGGCCTCCTATGCGCACGTCATTCTGCCCCTCCATCGCTACGGCCCGAGCCAGGTTGGTGATGCGCTGCTGATTCTTGAAGCCCAGCTGCGACACGTAGCGGCCGCACAGATCCGCCGCGCTCGTCGTCGTATTCTCGTAGCTCGTCACCGCGTCCAGGCCCTTGGTTGTCTCCTGGTCATCCTCGTCGCGGATCTTGAGCAGGAACGTCTGCAGCTGCTTGAACACGCGGCCCACCTCCTTCTTGCCGACGTTGGTCAGGTTGAAGATTTCGCGAAACGTCCTGGGTACGTTGTTCTGGCGGCACGCCACAAAGAGGCACCCGGCAATGATGACTTCCTGCGGCTTGCCTCTGAGCGCCTTGTGCTTGTCCACCAGTTTGAAGATGTGCTTGGCTGCGTTCGTGACGTTCTGCCCGACATTGCTGGTCTCGCAGAGCGACACGATCTCCTTGTACCCCTGCAGCAGGTTCTTCTGGCCCTTGTCGCTGCTGGCATTGTTCTGCGTGCGAGACAGCGCCTTGTGAGCCTTGGTCTCGGAAAAGGCCACCGTCGTCGCCAGCTGCTGGCCCTCGATAAACTCATCCTGCGGACCGCCGACACGGCTGGGGTCGTCACCGTTCTGGTCGTCGTTGGCAAACGTTCGCCACTCAGACCTATTGTCGATGATGCGCTGACCAACCACGACACCACAGTCTTCGCACACCATGTCTCCGCTGGAGAACTCCTCCACCAAGTTGGGAGGAATCGTCCTGCAATCCGGGCACGAGAGGATATTGTTCAAGTCCTCCTTGAACTTGCCCCCCGCGGTGTCCCCGCTCTTCGGGCTGAACATCTTGGGCCGGTACGCCTTGGGCGTGTAGATGTTGTTAACCTCGTCAAATACTTTTCGTGCTCTGCGCGCCTCCCTGGCCTTCTTCCGTTGCTGGCTCCGCTTCTTGGCAATCGATGCTCGGGCAGAGCTTTCTTTTTCTGCTTCACGGTTCCAGAGCTGATCGTTGACGAGCTGGAAGAAAAGTGGTGAATGCACCTTGGCGGCTTGACGAGAGTTTGGGTAAAAAGGTATCGAGTATCGAGCACGTGCCGTTCTCGTGGCAGTAGCTCGACGATGACAAAACGAGAAAAAGTGAAGAGGAAGATGTGGCGATGAGGAAAAGCGCTGATCTCAGGATTTCCAGCGAGTCGCAACAAGCGATGGAAGCTGCACCCGATGGACTGTGCTGACGAGTTGTGCGTGGATCTCTTCAGGTATATACGAGGAGTCGATCAGAAAAAGGCCGAGAATTGCAGGTGGCGTCTGACGATGGGGCGAAACAGACGAGATGGAGGATCGAACTCGGCCAGAGTAGCACGTCCAAGGGTATCAAGAGAGGATAAGAGAGCGAAAGATGTCTGCCGGCCGACTGTCCGAAACCAGTTAAGGCGTCTGAAGATGTGCGAACAACGTCAGATCAGGAAAGAGTCGGCTCGAAGGGTAGCGGTTGTACTCGCGAGGAGGACGGTATCAGGGAGTCGTAAAACGATGGTGGTGCGACCGTACAGACCGTGGGCTTCTGGCGGCAAGAGGGTGACGAGGTTGATGATGGAGGAGGAAAAGTTTGATTGAGGGAGATGAGGAGGGAGGCGACTGGTAAATGCACGCACTCAGTGCATACAGATTAGGCAAGCCCCGAGAGATGGGGAGAGTTTGGTATGAGTAATCCACACCGGGAAAACTGAAGTGTAGAATGGAAGGACCTAGAGTCAGCCACAGTCACAATCTTTGGTGAGTCAGCAATATGTGTGGCTGCCTTGATGTGGCTAACGTTCGGCGGTGCGTGCATGAACTCAGAATGCGAAATGCGAATTGGCATGCCAGCACGGGGGATTCTTGTAGAAGCAAATATACGATAACGGCAAAAGTCGCATCTTCTTGATACAATGGGATGGATGATGCTATAAACGGTACTAGGCTTATGAGCCAGGCCATTGACAAGGATGAGACAGAGACAGCCACCACGAGTCGGTTCGGGAGGGCGGGTATTATCAATAGTATGTAAGAGGCAAGCCACCGAATAAACTATGGCGCAGCAGTAGCGTGATGGTATTGATTTAATACTCAACAGTGGCATGAACTGGCAAGAAGGTGGTCTTCCATCATATGGATGCCAATTACTGTCAGTATTACTACTCGTACTTATTGCTCGTAATGTAAGCTGGCAAGTGCAGAGGCTGTATTAGTGCTGTAAATACCTGTGACCAGCGCCAGCCCTAGCAAGAGACCAGAGTACCTCAACCCGATGCCCTGCCCCGCCAAAAGTTGACGATTCAGCGTCCAGGAAAAATTGATGACCGCACACGCCATTCGCTCTCTCATAATCAGATATTTTCTAGCAAACGACATCGCCGCTGGTGGCATTTTCTCAACGTGCGAAGATCGTCCCCCACCTCTTCCTCCCTCCCTCCCTCTACCTCTCCTCTCTTTTTCTTCTTTTTTTTTTTCCTTCCATTTCCTTTCTCTTCGACCACCGCCACACGTCTTCGACGCTAGCACATTGCCTGCGGTTTAGCCGTCTGCCTTCCGTCAACAAGGCTTTTTTGCCCCGCTGTTGCCACAGCGTCAACGCCTTTTTCTTCGACTCCCGATCCGTCTGTGTCCTCGGTCGACTCGCGACGATGTCCGGAAAGCTTACTCGGTATGTTACTGCTGCCGTCACCGGTATTCTAACACATTGATAGCTGTCGTTCATCGGTTGACACGTCTCTTTCCTCAGTATCGCTATTGTCAACGACGACAAGGTCAGTCAAATATCTCAAAAGTTTTTTTTCTCTCTTCTCTTTTTTTTTCGCTGCCCCTCCTTGCTGCCCCGCCACCCCACCACGACAACGGCAATTACCACCATATACGGTAGAAGCAAGAACTGAAGCTGATCCATGATGTCCAACCATAATAGTGTCGTCCGCGCAAGTGTCGTCAGGAATGTAAAAAGTCCTGTCCCGTCGTCCGTAGCGGAAAGCTCTGCATCGAAGTCGCCCCCACCTCCAAGCTCGCCTTCATCTCCGAGTCGCTCTGTATCGGTTGCGGTATCTGCCCCAAGAAATGCCCCTTCGACGCCATCACCATCATCAACCTGCCCACCAACCTCGAGAAGGAGGTCACCCACCGCTATGGCCCCAACGCCTTCAAGGTCCACCGTCTGCCTATGCCTCGTCCTGGTCAGGTCCTCGGTCTCGTCGGAACGAACGGTATCGGAAAGAGTACCGCTCTCAAGATTCTTAGTGGAAAGCTCAAGCCCAACCTGGGTCGCTACGAGAACCCCCCTGACTGGGAGGAGGTCATCAAACACTTCCGTGGCTCTGACTTGCAAAGTGAGTTTCTCCGGTTTCCAACTCGATGCACATGCAGTCCCTAACAGTGACCGCCCCCCCCGTTTAGACTACTTTACCAAGCTTCTCGAAGACGATCTGAAGGCTGTCGTCAAGCCCCAATATGTCGACCAGATCCCCAAGGCTGTCCGCGGCACCGACAAGACGGTCAAGTTCCTGATCAACAGCCGTGCCAACCTCGGTAACATGGATAGCGTCATGGAGACACTCGAACTGAACCATCTTCTGGAACGTGAGATCGGCAAGCTGTCTGGTGGTGAGCTCCAGCGTTTCGCCATCGGTACCGTCTGCGTTCAAAAGGCCGACGTTTACATGTTTGACGAGCCCTCGTCGTATCTCGATGTGAAGCAGCGTCTGAGTGCCGCCCAGATCATCCGCTCCCTGCTCCGTGACGACGACTACATCATTGTCGTCGAGCACGATCTGTCTGTTCTCGACTACCTGTCTGACTATGTCTGCGTCCTCTACGGCCAGCCCGCCATCTACGGTGTCGTCACTATGCCATACTCGGTCCGTGAGGGTATCAACATCTTCCTCGACGGTCACATCCCCACTGAGAACCTGCGTTTCCGTCCCGAGTCTCTGACCTTCCGTATCGCCGAGGGTGTCGAGGAGCTACAGGTCGACAAGTCGCGCGCCTTCGAGTACCCGGCCATGGAGAAGACGCTCGGAGGCTTCAAGCTCCAGATTGATGCCGGCGAGTTCACCGACTCGGAGATCATCGTCATGATGGGCGAGAATGGTACCGGAAAGACCACCTTCTGCCGCATGCTTGCCGGTGCCCTCAAGCCCGACAGCAAGGAGTCGATCCCGGAGATGAGGATCAGCATGAAGCCCCAGACCATCACGCCCAAATTTGACGGCACCGTGCGCATGCTCTTCCTGAAGAAGATCAAGCAGGCCTTCCTGTCACCCCAGTTCCAGACCGACGTCATCAAGCCCCTCAAGCTCGAGGATTTCATTGATCAGGAGGTCAAGAACTTATCCGGTGGTGAGCTGCAGCGTGTTGCTATCGTCCTGGCCCTGGGCATGCCAGCCGACATCTACCTGATCGACGAGCCTTCCGCCTACCTCGACTCGGAGCAGCGCATCATGGCCTCGCGCGTCATCAAGCGCTACATTATGCACATCAAGAAGACGGCCTTTATCGTCGAGCACGACTTCATCATGGCCACCTACCTGGCCGACCGCGTCATCGTCTTCGACGGTCAACCCGGAGTCCTCTCCCACGCCAACAAACCCGAGTCCCTGCTCACCGGCTGCAACGCCTTCCTCAAGAACCTCAATGTCACCTTTCGCCGTGATCCGACAAACTACCGTCCCCGTATCAATAAGCTTGGATCTCAGCTGGATCAGGACCAGAAGCTGAATGGAAACTACGTACGTGTATTCCCCTGCTTTCTTCTCCTTTTCTGTTATCGCTACTTTCTGATCTTCTCTTGAGCCTATCTTGTTCTTCCAATGCTAACCTTTGGTTTTTTTTCTTTCTTACTAGTTCTTCATGGACGAGGAAAAGGGCAGGAGCTCCTGAGAAGGGCAACTACTATGAGATACCTCCTGCGCAGCAGGAGTGGCAGAATCGAAAACTTGCATCATCCCAGGGCGTTGACGGCGTTGAAAAAGGAAAATCACGCGCCACCAAGAAGCGCGTAAAGGGTCGCCGCCGCTGCTGCCATGACCCAGAGACGGGTTCCGCCGATGCCGGCGCCAGCGAGGATGACGACACGGACGAGTGACATCGGCCGACGATGGTCTATCCCCTGCTTTTTGCCTGGTCCTGTGAGAGGGGAGATGAGAGACGTTTGGTATCCTTACATATCTCTTCCCTCTCATATTGGTCAACAGAGTGTTGCGACCATTCCCTGATCAAACCACTCCCCCTCTCACAGATTGAGGGGCAAAAGCGGATCAAGCAGGATGACCATCGTCAAGAGGGCGGATGACACACATGGGAGCTTCCTTACCTCGCAGGAAGCAAAAAAAACCTATCGGGATTCTATATTAGAACTGTGTGTTGCCGTATAAACGAGGAGATTGAGGAAAGTATATTACCACATCTCTAGCACTTGTTACTTTTTTATGAATATATTTGGTAAAAAAGAAGAGAAAGAATTACTACTACAACTACCAATATTGTACGAAGCAACACAGCAAGAAAGTCGTCCGTAGTGCGTACTAACTAGAAACTGTGAAAACATAATTGTCCAGGAGGGGGGGGGGAGGGGGAGAGGGAGTAGTCCACGCACAAGCAGGTAGAAGACTCACCCAACAAGGGAAAACGGACAAGGTAGTATAACCGACTCGTAGTGTTGTTCTTTTCCCCTTTTTTTTTCCTCATCCTCTTCTCCAAGTCATTCTTCTCCCAGCAAGTAAACAGAAGAAAAAGAGCGGGGCAAGAGACGTACTTGATCAAGAAACACTCAAGAAAGATAGAAGAGAAAGAGAGGGATTAACATGAAATAAAAAGCGACTAGTCCTCTTCTTCAATCTCCCCTTCTTCACTGCCTGATCGAGCGTCTCGGGATGCATCTGTTGCTGCCGTCGCTGTTGCTGCTGCTGCCGTTGCTGTTGCGGAGGCCGCATCTGCAGCTGTAGGTGCGGGTGGTGGAGTCTTTCCCTTGGTGGTGGAGGGGACAGAGTCTCGGGAGGGGGAATTGTCCATTTTGATTCTCTGGATTCCATCGTTAGATCTTGATTTGAGAGGGAAGAGAGGGGGGGAAGAGAAGGGAGAACAGAGGGCGTGAAGGGGGACTAACCTTGGAATCTCTCGAATCACGTCTAGCATGGTCCTGATCGTCATCACGACGACGACGTCCAGCACCTGATGTCGAAGGAGCCTCATCTCCATAGGGGAGTTCATCGTACGAACCTCGATCAGTGCGACGACGGTAAAGCCTGTCGCGGTCATCGTCCCTGCGCGGAGGCGGGGGAGCATCCTCGTTGACGATACGGCGGGAGCGGGGGGGCGGGCGGTCGTAGTCGCGGTCCCTCTCCCGGTCTCTGTCCCTGCGGTCATCCCTGACCCTATCGCGGTCACGGTCGCGGTCACGTTCACGTTCACGTTCACGGTCACGGTCGCGGTCGCGGTCACGGTCGCGGTCACGGTCGCGGTCGCGCTCACGCTCACGCTCACGTTCACGTTCACGTTCACGCTCTCGGACATCCCGATCGCGCAGCTCCCTCCGGGGTGCTGCTGCCGGGGACAAGCGGGAGGAAGAGGAGAGTCGGTCGCTGGCGCCAACACTGGAGAAGGCGCTCTCGGCCATGGTGGCCTTGCGGTGGTTGCGCTCTCGCTCGGCAATGGCCCTGCGCCTGTCGGCTTCGTAGGCGTCCGCCTCAACGGGGCTGCGACTACGTCTTGACGAGCGTCCGTTACTACGGTGGTCACGCTCACCTTTGGACTTGTCCCGGTCACGGCGGTGGTCACGCTCTCGGTCGATGGAGCCGCGCCCGCGCTCACGATCGCGGTCGCGCCGCCGGTAGCTGCTGCTGCGCTCGGCATCTTCCTCCTTCTCGCGCAACCGGCGGAGGAGCTTGTCAAACGCGGAGCGTCTGGCGTCCTCGGAAGAGACGGCCCGAAATTCCTCTGATTTCAACAGTCGCGGTCGTACCTTTTCATATGTGTCGCTGGCAGTGATAGGCGGCTCCATGCGCTTCAGGTAGGCGCGGAGCTCTTCAATGGCGCGATGCTGGTGTCGGTCGTCGTCGCGTCTTGATGAACGCTTTTCGCGGAGCTGTGAAGAAAAACTTGTCGTCAGCTTACTCCTTCTATCAGGCCGAGTCATTCCTATGTCTGGACGTGTACTCACGCGGTCAAAAATGAACCTCAGAATGTCACGGTCAATGTTAGCAGTGCGTTGGTCATCCTTCATGAGGGACAGAAACTCCTCAAAGTCGCTCGTCGATGACAGCTCAAATCGCTTGTCCTAGAGGGCGGCCATGGTTAGTCGGTGGTGGTTCATGCAATCCGAATAGGGGGCACGACAAGACCATACTTCCAAAACATCAATAACATCGTTACGGGTTTCACGGAGCCCACGATCCTCCTCTTCGACAACATCCCAGAACAGCTCTTGGGGGGTCGATCCGCCCTGGCCGGCCATGCTGGTGTAGCGCTGGTCGTTCTCGATGAGGGGCAAGATCTGGCTCCACTTGGTCCCAGCATTGATCTTGCCGTCCTTGCGCAACTCGGCAAGCAGCGACTTGAAGGCATCGCGGGCCTTGCGCTCCTTGCGGAACTTGCGGTTCTTCTCCTGCTGCTTGGAGTCATTGAAGGCCCTCTCGAGAGCCTTCATGTGGCCCTGGAAGGCGTTGAGCATGTCGAGCTGACTGAGGGCTTGGAACTTGGGCTCGCTCTGGAAGGTCTGGGTGGTGGAGATGATTCCCTGAGCATCGGACCAGCGCGTGTAGGGCTCGAGATTGAGCTTGGGCAGCAGGTCAACCAGGCTGTCCATGGCGCTCTTGCGCATGCTGGACTGCTCCTCGGCGTGGGCCCTCTTGAGCCCGACGATGTACTCCTCGAAGATCTGGCGGCGCTCCGCCTCGTCGGCCGTCGACCGAAACAGCGTCTCTCCCTCCAGCATGGGCCGGGCCGTCTTCCACCGCGTGTAATGCTTGATCTCGGGCTGGCGCCTCAGCATCGTCTCGAAATCGGCGCGGACCTTGCTCAGGCGCTCCTCAGCACGCTCCTTGTCTTGGGTGATGACGTCGTGGCAGTAGTTCTCGAAGGCGTCCTTGCGGCCCTTGGGGTCCTTGATAGCTCGAAACTGAGGGTCGCGCGCCGTCGCGCGTATCGTGTCCTCCCACGTCCAGTCGGGCTGCACGCCACTGAGGCGGAGCAGCTTGACAAAGGCCGCCTCGGCCTCCTCCGCGGTCGCATACTCCGGGTCGTTGGAGGAGGGGACGAAGCTCTGGGCCCTCGCTTCGCTGGAGGGCGGGAGCTGGCGGGACTCGGAGTAGGTGTCACGGTACATTTCGCGGTCGCGTGCTGGGCCACGAGGGGCGTCGTGGAAGCCACTGCCAGGAGTAAATGGTGTCTGCGAAGGCGTAGGGGCGCCGGGACCGGGGCTGTCCTTGATGCCCAGAGCAGTCTTGTACACGTCGGGCATCTCCCAAGAGCTCTCCTTGGTCTCGGTGTTGTACCAGTACTTTCGACCGCCTTCGGCTGTGTATTCCTTCCACGGCTGGTTGGCCAGAGCGCGCTACATGACAGGACGGTCAGATTCGGTTGGCAAACCATGGATTAAGTAGTTTGGGGAGAAGGGCAGGCAGCATACCTCTGCAGGCGACATCATGTCCTCTGGCTTGGTCCATTGCGTAGCCTTGGTAGCCGAGTTATAATAGTAGGCTCGGCCATCGGGGGTGTGATGCTCCTGCCAGACCGAGGGCGGCTGCCCATATGGCTGAGGCGGCGCGATGCCGTTCATGATTACACGCGCGAGTGGAAACGGAGACAAGGGAATACCGCCTCCTCAGTAAGAAAACCGGATAGGAATACAAGTCCGCGCGTCGTGGGTCTGTCAGTGACGATGAACGCGACAAGGTCGATTATCCGTTTGTATGGGAGAAGAAGATTGCAAAGTGCGTTTGTCGCAGTCCTGGGGCACAAAAATTCGTGCCCCAGGCACCAGTTTTTGGCCCCCCAAGCACCGACCGTCCTACATGTATCAATATTAAATGTATAATAATAATACTCTGTAGCTACGGTTATAGTCATGTACCTTCTGAAGTAATACGGAGTACTTATATGTGTACATATATAAGTATAACCCCCCCGGCGGCTACATGCAACTAACATAACAGAAGACAGATTTGAAAAAAAGGAAAAGAGAGGGAAGAGGGATGAGTGAGTAGGCACTTGTATTACCCTGACACATTCGAGGAATCAGAAAGCTGGATACCGATTGCGACGCACGGATTACTACGAGACTGCTGTTGCGTCAAAAGAGCAAGGACCAATCATCACTAATTATGCATTTATCCGTATATGGCAGCTTGTGGAGCGCGACAAGGCGCCCACCACCAGGTTTCGTCGCCCCCCCCCCCCCCCCCCTTGGAGCATTTCTACAGATACAGCTTTACTTTCTACCATTTTCGAAATTCACATAACGCCAATTGTTTCAATATATATATATATATCCGTATATTGTATATACATACATACATATATATATATATATATATTATATCACACGGAAACAAAGAGGAGAGGGAGAGGGACAGAGAGAGACAGAGACAGTGAGACAGGGAAAAAAAAGACATCAGATCTAGAATGTGATGATCCCTGCTTCCAAGAGCTATCCAACAAAAGACACGTTGTCTATCGTCATGGCCGAAGCAGAGACGCCCGCCACCATGGTATCCAAAAAAGGGGCCATCACGGCCGGCGATACGAGCGCAACTTTCGCAGAAAAATCTTACCTAGCATACTTCATCCCCCTGGCGACTGATCTGGAACTGGAGGATGTTTTCAAGGATTTCGGTCAAAGACAGTCCGTCACCGATTCGATACCTCAGAGGGAGTCTCTATTCTTTGGTATGCTTCGAAGGAAACCCCCTTTCCCATCACGTACTACAGGTATGTGCATGTCATGTACTGACCTCACCTGGCTGCAGATGAGAATGTCGATGTGGTCCTCATGCTCAAGATGCCGTGGCTGGAGGAAGAGGCGCTCCAATCCCAGCTGAACAGGCTGGTGCTATCGGTGGAGGCGCAGGTGGTCAACGCGAGCACATCGGGCAGCAGCAGCCCGCCGGCGAGCGATACCATCTTCAAGGGGACGGTCAAGGACGTGAGCGATCCATTCATCCTGGTGGACGAGGAGGAGGAGGAGGAGGAGGAGGAGACGGAGACGGAGGCAGGAGGAGGCAGCGACTCGGGCAATGGGAAGCCAAGAGGACGCCAGTCCATCTACGCGGTGTGGAAGCTGGGCGTCTTCATCGGGCGGCCGCGGATCCGTCTGCAGAGCCCGTCGGTCGTGGTGACAGCGTCGGCGACGCTGGGGCTGGAGCCCAAGGCGGACCATGTGGCCACGCGAGAGGGCTACCTCCCCAGCGGGACGGCGTCGAGCTTCAACCTGCTCGAAGCCTTTGGCGGCGACCCGGGTCTGGGCGGGGTGAAGCCGCAGCTGTCGGCGCTGCGCGTGTCTAAGGTGGCGCCGCTGGCCCGGCAGCAGGACGGCACGCGGCACATCCGCGCGCTGCCGCAGCTTCGGCTGCCGGTCCGCCCGGTCCTGCACACGCGCGTGCGCTTCTCGCGGCCCAACACGCTCCCCGTCGGACAGGCTGTCATCGCTATCCTCGAGATCGACTTCACCGCCGACTTCGACTGCGAGGTCATGCTCGACCGCATCGCCCTGTCCGTCCCCAACGCCACCGTCGACCCCCTGAGCGGCGACGACATGGCCCTGCCCATCCCCTGCGTCGCCCACGACTACCTCACCTTCCTCTATCACCTGTCCCCCGAGCCGGCCTTCGCTGCCACGGGCTCGGCCGCCGCCGCCGCCGCCGCCGTCGCCGCCACCTCCACGGCCTCGTCGCCCTCCGCCCTGCGCGACCTCGACATCTCCATCTCCGCCACCGCCCTGTCCGTCCCGGGAACCTGCCAACCCGTCCTGGCCATGCACTGGACCGCCAGCGTCGACTTCTCCGTCCCCGTCAACCCCAGCTTCAGCGGCCCCTCGTTCGGCAAGGGTCCCAGCATCCAGCGCGGCCACCGCCCCTCCCAGCTGTCCATCGGCAGCGGCCCCGGCAGCTCCATCGTCCCCCTCAAGACCCCCGCCATCACCCGCCCAGACGCCCTCCCCACCCTCGAGGCATCCACCAATCGCGCCGACACGCCCCTCCCCGAGCTGGGAATCACCCTGTCCCTCACCGGTCCCACGTCGCCCGTCCGCCTCGGCGACGTCTTCACCTGGGCCGTGCACGTCGTCAACAGGTCCAACGACGCCGCCGCCGCCATCACAGCCTCCTCCTCCTCCTTCTCTACCCCTGGCCTCCTCGCCCCCGCCCGACCTCCCCGCAAATTTGCCATCCTCGCCGTCCCTCGCCGTCGACGCAGCGACTCCGCCACCCGCTCTGTGCGTCCCCTTTCTTCTAGCTCCCGTCGTCGCGGCGGCGGCAACCCAGCCATGGGCGTCACCTGGCATCCTGCCTCTGCCGGCGCCGGTGCCGGTCTCGACCCTGACACCATGGAGGTGGCCGACGCCGTCATGGACGACAACGTCCTCCACGCCATACAGAAGAACTCTCTCGTCCAGACGGCCGACCTCGTCTGCCTCAACCCTGACGTCCTCGTCGGCCCACTGGCCCCCGGCGCCTGCCACGTCGTCGACCTGCAGTTCCTGGCTCTCAAGGAGGGTCTCGTCAGTGTAGAAGCCATCCGCGTCATCGACCTGGCTTCCCAGGATCATGTTGATATACGTCATCTGCCAACAATCATGGTAGAAGCAGCAGCATGAGGGAAAGAGAAGGGAAAGGGGGGTTGGTAAATTTAGAGAGGGGTGGAGAGGTCAGACAGAAGCACTTTTTAAAGAAAACACATACACACATCTTAATACAATCTGCATGCTATCCATACCCACTAAGACTAAAAACATCTTTTTTTTTTCTCATGGAAGACACACACACACGCCCACACAAAGAGAGAGAGAGAGAGAGATAGAGAGGGAGAGGGAGAGGAGAACAAGATCAAACCCAATGCCAATCGATGCGCCGCCGTGTGCTTGATATAACATGAAAATGCAACCCCGATAAGGTAAAACAAGTAGAAGTTAAAACAAAAATAAAAACCATTTACCGCCTTAGGAACTTCATTGCAAATCATCCAAGTCATCATCATTATCCCAGCCCAGTCTCTCAAAGATGGATCCCCCTCCACATTTAGTTGGCTGCTGCTGCTGCTGCTGCTGCTGCTGCTGCTGTCCACTTTCAAGCGGCAACCTCTTCTTGACAGGAGTCTGTGGTTCTTCATAATCAGCCAACCTGGTGACCTCTTCTGGCGCAAGAGGACCGCACCTCCTCATCGTGGGCCTGACGACGCTCCCAGGGACGGTGGGGGAGTCCATGGGTTCCAGCGCCGCCGTGCTCTGCGACATGATGGGTGAGGATGGTGGGATGGCCGGCTCCTCGGCCACCGGTCTGCGCAGGAACGTCGCGGTGGGCCTCTTGACAGGCGTCTGGCCCACGATGCCGGCGGGTGAGCTGCCAAAGACGTCCATGTGCCCGTTTCGGAGGACCGTCGACGGCGCTAGCGGTCCGATGCTCGACGGGGGGATGATCTCGTCTGTGCGGGGGAGAAAGGCGACCGGTGGGGTCCTCTCCCGGTCAACCTTGGGTCCCATGACGTCCTTGAAGCGGTGGTTGGCTGGCGTCGCCTTGACCTGGATGCCTGAGTTGTTGTTGGTCATAGCCGTCGGCTTGTTACCTCGTCGAACTTCTGGAGAGGGAGACACAGACGTTTTGTCAGTAATTAAAAGGATCAGGACCGGGTTGGGAGACAGAAAGAGGGGAGGGGGAGGAGGCAATACTTTTTGCAGGGACCCTGTGCTTGTCCGCCTCGACCATTGCCTGGCCCACGACGCTGCGGTTCGGCTTCCTCAGATTGGAGATGGCATCTCTCAGCTCGGCGTCAATCTTGGCCTTACGGTTAGCCTTGACGTCGTCCGCGCCCGCTGTCACGCTGTTACTCCTTGACAAGGAGGAAGAGCGTGCCTCCCGAGTGCCGGCAGGCCCTGCTGGATCTGCGCCCCGGGAGGGGGGCAGCCTGAGACTGTCGCTGTCTTCCCTCTTGACGCTGGGCATGGAAGCCGATGTTGCACGCATGAGGTCTTCGATCTGGCTCGGGCCACGTGATACGCTCCGACGATGCTCCCGCTCAAAGGAGAGTGCGTGCTGCAGCGACTCGGGCCGCTTGTGCAGGGCTGTTCGCCTGGCAGCGGCGCCGGGCCTCTGGTCCCGCCGCTCAGAGGGGCGCTTCTGCGACTTGGACTTGAGCTTCGGGGGCGAGACGATGACCGGTCCGCCGAGTTTCCGGCTGAGCGAGTCGCACAGCTGTGGGAGACGCGAAGAGTAGCTGGCGCATGCTGGTAAGTCTACGAGCACGATGCAAGCAAGACGGGGCGGCAGCACTTACAATGGAACAATGACGTCGACGCAAAAGTCGCGTAGAGGTTCCGACGACGCCTTTTGCTGAAGCTGGTGGTCGCTCGATTGTGTGGGGGTCTGGGAGTCCTGGAGGAGGATCTGCTCGTCAGACGCCATGGACTGCCAGATGGTGAGTCGGTCGGCGTGGACGTCGAGCAGGACCGGCAAGTTGTGCTTATTGCGCTTCTTGGACGCCGGTGGCGGGGGTGATACCACCACCCCCTTCTCCGGGGCTGCCTCTGAGCCGCCGCCGGGGAGGGCAGGCAGTCTGTCGTCGGCAGGCAGGTCCTGGGGCTTCAGGGGCTCGAGGGCCAGTATCTCCATGATGACAATCATCTGCAGCTGGGTCTCGCGGGTGCGCAGGAGCGACGCGTGCGCCTTGACCTGCTCGAGCGATATGTCCGTCTCGTCGTCGTGCCTGAGCTCGAGCTTGTTGGCAGCCCACCACTGGCGGATGCGGTCGTCCTCTTGAGGGTACAGGCCATCCTTGCCGAGCTTCATCTTCTTGGACCGGCGGCGCTTCTTGCGGGCCTCGTCGGAACTGTCGACCATTTCCTTCATCCCGGAGATGACCTTGGGTATCGTCTCTCGGTGCTTCCTGTCGACCTGCACGGTAGTGAGGACTAGGCCGGTGAGGAAGTCGATGAGGTCGCCGATGTCAAGGTTGGACTCGAGATCTAGGTGGAAGGCTGAGCGAGCACGGGACAGGGGGCCTTTGGCAAAGTAGGCTAAGGATCCCTATAGTGGTTATCGTGTCAGTCGGGAGAAACCTTGGCAAGCCACCCCACTTGCACGGGCGGCAGTCCTTCTCCTCTCTTACTTTAGACTTGTACAATGCTTCAAAGTAGTGGGAGCGGATGTTGTCAAAGATGTTGGTCGCAGCCTGCTGGGGGTCGACATCGGCCTCGGGGGCGACAATGCCGGGCGTTTCGAGGGATAGTCCACCAGGTGCCGTTGCTCGCGTATCGACAACATCGGCAGCAGGCAGCTGGGACGCGGAGTCTGTGGGTTTGGTCTGGGCAGCCTCTTGTCCGGTAGCTATCTCACCCGCTGCCGACGCCGACCGCGAACGAGGCCTCTTTCGAACGAGGGACTGGATAGCGTCGATGGCAAAGCGCTTCTTCCTTTCCTCCTTGTGCGTCCGGGGCGTCGTCAACGTAGCTTGCTCCAGGGCAGCAGGTTTCGGTGGGCCTGCTGAAGGAGGATGGCGGGTGAGGCGCTCGTGGCAGATGACGGTGGCGCGGGCGGCCAGGTCCTCGGGCGAGTTCCACGATCCGAGCTTGCACGCGGTGTAGAGGGTTGCGTCCAGCCTCTCGATGGCGTACAGCGTGCCCCTCAAGTCGTTGCGGGCAATCATGACGCTGGGCGAGGAGCCCATGCGGTTCTCGAGGTCGAGGATCTTGATGTGGGATTCGAAGAGGCGGCCGAGAGGCAGGTCACCCCGGGGATCGTTGAGGTCGAGGCATGAGAGGGAGAGGTGTTCGCGCGGGAGAATCATCAGCGGCTGGAGAAGTCGAGGTTGGACATGGAGTTTGGGTGGGTGCGGCTGGAAGTTCAGATTGCCCATCAGTCAGGCGTCTGCTAGCTGCGACAGGGAAGTGTCTCTCTGCGTGTGTGTACCTTTAATGTAACCATGGGCTTGAGGAGATGGTCCATGGCCAGAGAGTCGGCACCTTTCCTCTCGCGCGTCTCGGGGGAGCCAGATCCCCCATGCCCGCTGCGGTTGAGAGAGCCGTCGGACGAGGGGGTCAGGAAACCCGACCTTGACCGCGACGCGTCTGCGTCTGCCACGGCGGCGGAGGACATGTAAGGATGGACTTGGGGTGGGGGCAAGGTTGATGCTCAGATGCTGCGTGACATTGTTCTCGGATGGTAGAGAGGCAGTGAAGAAAAGAAGGGTTTACAGAAGGATTTACAGATCCATGGTCGTGAATGGTTACCTGTTCCCCTGCAGGTTCGTACTGTAGATTGTGTGTCTGTGTGTGTCAGTGGGGACGTCTGGGTATAAAAAAAACCAACAACCTACTGGCTGACAGTGAATCAAGACGCGTTCAGACACGCGCTACCCTCGACACATTGATTTTTTTTTTTCGATTTTTTTTTCTCTTGAGCCTGCAAGCTTGCTACTCTATTTCGAATTTCCTTCTTTCTCAGTTTAAATGGATAGAATTGTATTAGGCTCTACTTATGTGCGTAATTATCGTGTTTGTCATTATACTACGTGTGAGTTAAATAACCAGTTCGTGTGAAAGACATGCATCATATATTGATATGTACGCACTTACATCTACTATGCTTAAAGTGGTGGTTATCAACTCGTACATCAATCACTCATAGTATCTCACCAAAGAACATGACCAAATAATGTATCGTACAAGAACAGGATGACATGGAAACGATATTACAAAGCCTTGTATATTCTCGCATACTTTGGTATATACTACTATGAACATGATTATAATTCATACGACGATACTCCAATCCGATCATCACAGGCTATAATCCGATATTCTCTCTCCATGACGCTAAACCACCAAAGGCTGTACCGCTCCAGGCGGCGGCGGCATTTCCCTATCGGACAGCTCCGTACCGATATTCTCAGCCTCTAAACCCGTGTCATCAGCGACAGGATATTGCATCGGTTCACGCTTACTAAACTCCTCTCCATTCGAGACAAGGCGGCATCTCCTCCTGGTCAAACTGGCTGTATTGATTCGTGCTGGATGTCCTGTGTTTCTGACAGAAAAGTTTCTTCACCACATTGAAGCCAACCGCCAGCGATTCACACATTGCGGGGTATCGAAACAAACACACACACACACACAAACAACACACAACACCTATCAACCATGGGTTCGCAAGCGGGATACACGCAGCCGCCTATCCAGGTCTCCTTTGACGGCTTCCTGTTTGACATGGACGGAACGATTATCGACTCGACATCGGCCGTTGTCAAGTACTGGCGGGCGTAAGTAGTCGGGGGTTCTGACGACGTGAGAAGACGACTGCAGAGAAAGAATGAGAGAGAGGAAAGAAGCTTTGGCTGACGTCGAAGGGACAGCGTGGGAAAAGAGATTGGTGTAGATCCCGACACGATTCTCGAGACGTCTCACGGTCGTAGGAGTATAGATGTCCTCAAGATTCTCGCCCCGGAAAAGGCAACGATAGAATGTGAGTGAGAGCGGAAGAGGGAATACATCACATATGCATAGAAAGGAGGAAGGAAAGAAGAAGGAGAAGAAGAGGGGGAGAAAAAGAAAGAAGAGAGAGAAGAGCAAGATTGTGAAGCTTACATCTGATGACGCACAGACGCTCAGGAAATGGAAGGCCGCCTTCCCCGCGACTACTCCGACGAAGCCGTCGAGATCCCGGGAGCACGATCCATGCTGGACAAGCTGACCTCCCTCTCGGCACCGTGGACCATCGTCACGTCAGGCACGATACCCTTGGTGACGGGCTGGCTAAAGGTCATGTCGCTGACGACGCCGGAGCACCTCGTGACAGCCGAGTCGGTGTCCCAGGGCAAGCCCGACCCGGGATGCTACCTCCTGGGCAGGGAGAAGCTGGGTCTCCACGAGAGGTCCAACGACATTCTGGTCCTGGAGGACGCCCCCGCGGGCATCAGGGCCGGCAAAGCCGCCGGGTGCAAGGTGCTGGGCCTGGTGACGAGCCACACGGTGGATCAGGTGGTCGAGGCCGGACCTGACTGGGTCGTCCAGGACCTGTCTTCCGTCCGGGTTGTGGGTAAGGAGGGGGGCAAAGTGATGATTGAGATATCACATTCGCTCAAGATGTAGATGATTTCACTTTCTCCCTCTTCCTTTTTATTTATTTATTTTTATTGTTAAAACCCCTCCCTCCCTCCATTTCTCTCTCACTCTCTCTCTTTCCCCGCTTCCTGAAATCAAATAGATGGCACAAGGGGAGGAAGGGCAAAACTAATACTGAGAAGGGGAGAGGGGTGTGTGTGTGTGTGTGTGTGGGTGGGTGGGTGGCTCCTTCTGGAAATAATAGAAGGGAGTTTCTTTTCTTTTCTTTTTTTCTTTTGTGTGAAGAGGGAGGAAATATCCGATAGACTACTATATGGATTGAGAATTGCATTCCAACCTTCATCCCCTCCTGCATAGAAGAGGCCATATCTTGTCTCGGCAAGCGTCGGGCGAGTGTCTCGGTCCAAGGAAAGAAAGCAAGTATTGCCTTGTTCACCTCTCATCTGCGGAGAAGGGAAGGGGTAAGAAGGGATATGGGGTGTGAACCTCTCAACAATCACCAGTTTAAACAGCGAGGTGTCATGAATCTCCATCAGAGACAAGCATGACACCCAGGGAGTCTATTTAATCGTTGACGAAGGAAAATAACGATGATAGCAGCAGTTTTTCTTACGCGTGCTTTTGTTGTCTTCAACGCGACCTCACCCTCCCTCTAGTGCGACATTGCTGCCCCTTGCCAACGGCGCGCGCGACCATGACGCGAGCCTCCCTCGACGACAGCTCCATCCAAGGCTAGCCATAGCCAACAACGGTATGCGTATCACTTGCTAGTAGCTAGTGCCAGGTACTAGCTAGCAGTTGAGCGGTTCAACCTTGTCGTGTGCGTCCTTTCCTTCTCTCCCTGCTCGCTTCCCTCGCGTTACTAACGAGCAAAATCAATCCGAGACAGCGCCGTCAATTGTCGAGATACCCTCTTTCCCTCTTCCGGGCATTGGCAACAAGCCAAATCTGGACCTGGGATCTTCCCAAAGAAGACGACCCTAATGCCCATGGCGTCATGGTGAAACATGAGAGAGAGTTTACGCCGAAGCAAGAGAGCAGATGCTGCAACTACCTCCACCCCTTGCCTCTGAACCAGAAGATCCGTGAGGTTCACGCAATTGTCCCATGGTCAGGACAGGACAACCACGTCAACTCTCTCTTTTGGTTCCCAGCTCGTTTAGCATCATGAGGGAAAAAAAGACCGGAAAAAAAGTTAAACCCACCATGGCGCCATCTAGATCGGATCAAAAGATGCGTTTGGGAGGAGGGAATGATACCAAAGATACACGGAAGGTTATTTTTTCTTCTTTTTTTTCGCATGAACGAGCCAACTTGTGAGTAAGGATATACCATGGCTGTATCTAGACTCCTCGTTCCCCGTATTTATATTCGTTCAACATCGTCTTTCGACATCCATCAAGGGACCTACACGTCTCACCACCCAAAGCTCTCTCTCTCTCTCTCTCCACGCCTCCTGCTACACCTTATCAGTATTACCTTACAAAAAGAACGGAAGACATATTCACATACATCATTCATAAAAGGACCGGGAACCGGTTGCGAGGAGAATAATTGAAAAAGGAAAATCGGAAAGTTGGGAGTTCGTTGGGCCGGAGGATATCTACAATGCCGATTGGGCCCAGAGCCACGGAGAGGGGGGGGGGGGGGGGGGGGGGGAGCAGTAAAGCGATCCATCTCTGGTAAGTGCGTATGTGGCATGGAGGTTTATTTTCCTTTTTTTCTCACCCTCTCAACACATGGTTTGATCTGACCGTTGTTGCCTTGTTGATCCCGTACCCTTGGCGTGAATTGTAGGTGGGGGACTATGACAAGCTCGGGGAGAAGAAGAAGAAGCAAAAGTAAAAAGTCAGGACAGTTTTTTTTTTCTTTTCTTTTCTTTTTTCTTTTTTTTCTGTGATCGACAATTAGTTCCATCCCCGTACATTAGAACTAAATAAGCCGGTGAGGTTTTGTCAATGACATTCAAGTCTCCCTTTCTCTTTCCCTACAAACAACTTGCTTCTTATTCAGGCAAAACAAAGCAAACCTTGCTTGATAACTAAATGTCCCCGGTAGGTGACCATCATGACCCTAGCAGGGGAATGTGATTCTAGCATCTCCGGTCCCTACTTTGGAAAGTCAGTTTTCGTACCTCTTCGATGGAGAGGTGTTTGTCATGACGATCTTCCTTTTGCTTTGCTTGGCCGTGACAGGCCACTAGACGAAAATGATGATGTACTCATACTCTTACAGCTACTATCGGACGTGTTGCAGCTAACAGACCCGAAAAGCCATACTGGGGAGCTTGGAGGGAGGAACCATGCTCTGAGAGGGGAGGGTGAGGGCCATATTTTGGAGCCATGTCTTGGATGGCTCATGGATGACCCAGCTTACCAACTTTGAATAACGAAAAGATCTACAGATCTTCTTGGTACCCGTCGTCAAGGGACTAACTAGTACGACTTTGGTAGTGGCGGTACAGCACGCCGCACAATTTACTACAACCAACTCTTTTGCTGACACCGTATAGCTACAGCTCTACTTATAGATTGCACCCATCACTTACTTGTATCTCCCCGGAGGTTAGTATTTCCCGTATTTTCTCCCCCTCCCTCTTTTCGGCTCCTCCCCCCCCCCTCTCTCTCCTCTTTACAACCGATTTGGTTTAGTTGATGCTGTTGTGTTACTTGACAGGGTTCGGCTACGTAAAGTCGTCGCCCCGAGGTCACCGCGGGAAGGAAATCCCGTCCTGGATTTTTTTTTTTTTTTGTGTGGAGGAGTATGTGTGTATGTGACTGTACGTGAGAGGGAGAGGGACCGATCTGTTGACCTCACACGTGTGTCGAGGTGGTTGAAGACCATGGCGGTGGAGATGGTTGTGAGAAAAAAAAAGACAAAGACTGCATTTCCAAGAAGGGAAACATGGCCGTGTTTGGAAAGATGTTGGAGGGAAAAAATAAAATAAAAACATAAGCCATGAGTCTGTGTGGCTTGCCGGCGGTGGGGGGGGAGAAGGGTTGAGTTTGTCTGCCCTAGGACTTTATACAGCAAAAGTTCAGCGCACTGTTTTGTTGTTGTTTGTTATTTACTCCGTATTTAATAGTATCTACAACGTTTGGTTCTATGTTTCTGAAGATCGGCAGGTGTTTTTTTTCCTCTTCGATACTGGGGTGCAGAGAAGAAGAGAAGACGCAAAAGAAGAGAAGAAAAAAGAAAGGGAAGAAAAAAAGAAAAGCATGGGCCATGGGGTCCTACTACTCCGTAGACAAGCCGACTTTCTTCTTGTGGACCGTAAGAAGCGGGTGACGAATACCCCGACAGGGAAGTCCCCCTCGTATTGTATTTCGAACAAGACGAGAGGGACAGAGAGAGAGAGAGAGCAAAAAAAGTGGCAGGGGTACCAGGGTCATTATTCGATGCGATTGGAGGGAACGGCCTCGGAGTTGTTCCTTGGACCGTCCGTCGTCGTGCATGAAGCGCCATGGAGACGAGGGTCAGTGCTGCGCTGCTGCGCTGCCCTTTCTAGATTCCCGGGGCCTAGCCCCACGGGGCTGATGGATGGACTCTGGCAGGCAAGTAATCAAACTCGTCGCCGTAAAAGGTGACGGGCTATAGCTACAGAATAGGGTATTAGCTATAGTAGAATGATAGCAGAACGAAAGCATTCAACGGATGATTCCTCTCCGCATCACTATACGTACAATATTATCCGTCGTGGCCAAGAACGTGCTAGAGGTGATAATCAGAAGAGGGTGAAGGCTCAATACAGGTACTGGCAAGTAGTTATGACTCGTTCGTATGCGAGGGGGGAGGGGATGACGTAGATGGGACGCAGACGGGACGCAGACAGGACAGGTTCGACGTGTATGTCCTGCCAGAGTTTTATCAGTAAGAAGGTACGATACGCTCTACGCTGTATAAGAAAAGGATTCTGCACGGCCAACGACGGAAAGGAGCAAGAGAGGCATGTGGACAGAGGCGAAGGAGGGTATGGAAAAGTAACATTGATACAGACAATACACGGTGGTGTCGATGTATCGTATGGGAGGGGTCCCATGCTTGTACCACACGTGGCCGTCGGGATCGGAAAAGGCACTAAAATACGAACCGTCGTCAATCATGCTAGCCTCTTGATCCCTGCCCGACAGTAGAGAGTCTACTCGTACTTGCGCTCGTAGGGAGTGGAAATATTATTACATACCTGTAGGCTGTAGGCTGTACGGAGCACATGTCTACGAGTATGCGACAATAGTGCGTTACAGAGGAAGGTAAGTACCTGTAGGCCGTAGCAGTATCAGCATCTAGATTAGTTTGATGGGAATCTCCGGTTTTTATGCTCGAGCAGCCGTATCACATGTACTACAGTTTGAGCGTATTGCCGTAGCCACAGGTAGTAAATACTGCCATTCTGACAATGTCGCACGGAAATAAATTCTGACAGGTACGACGAATGCTGGATGGGCGGGATGGCTGGCAGGTCAGGACATTCGTCCTCTCATCATCATGGCCCTATCACCTGATACCACCTGAGGCGTGCCTGCCCAGCCTACCACCACCGCCACCGACACAACCTGCGGAAAATCCCCGCCCCTTGGGTTATTATGTGCTTGTCCAAGAGGTGTGCCTGCTTAGGCGAGTGGGATATCCCGTCGGGCAACTCACTGCGCAGTGCTAACTACCCGTATTCAGGAATTACAGCGTAGTCATCGTGCTCTCTATGCGTCCGCTACTCCGTACGCAACGCATGGACTCTCCGCCCGTACCGTCCGCTCATCTTCCCCTAGTATATTTATTTTCTATCCATGCCTGCTAGGGGCGGACTCTTCCCATCAACACCCCCCCCTCCCCCTCCCCCCCGTCCCGATCAGCCTCAGATGATGTTGTCCGGTCAGACTAATATGCTAAATAAAAAGCAACTTTTGGATGGGAACTGGGGGCAAATTTCGATCGAGCAAAGACGGAAAGGGCCTAGAAGGCTTTTGATCGGAAAGGGGGGGAGGTGGGGGGGGGCAGGGGAGGAGAAACACCACGCGTTTTTTCCTCTT